TTCTCTTCCCCCCCCAGGCCCTTCTCCCATCGCACACATTACATACCTACCTACCTACCTTACTACTTACTTACATGCATCCCACTCCGCTGCCATCTAATCCACATCTCCCAACTCACTCCGGACTGCAGAGGTGACGATAATAATTAAGAAGTCCTTCCCCCAGACTTTCCACCCGTCCTCTCCTCTTACTTCATTGCTCCACCAAGCAACACCCAACCCGTCGACGACCATCCCGAGAGACGCATCTGCATCCTACACCTGCAGCATTCTCCCCGTCTCATCGTCCGAACACCAATTTCATATTACAGCATTCCTGTCGTCGCCCATCTGCCCGTCGACACCGTCACAGCTCGCCGCCGTCGACGACCACATAGCATTCACAGCACCACCGTCGACATCATCGTCCGCCACCAACCGCTACCGATCCATTGCTTGACGAGACACCACTCCATCCCGCCCCAGGTGCCGAATCCACCCTACAAAAGACCAAGTCACCGAGCCTTGCATCCAGGCGCCGCGCCCATATAAACCGTCACCATAGATTCAGAACAGTCTGCCGCAACCTGCTCCATCCGAGCAGACTCCTTCGGCAACATGCCTTATCCTCTCGCTACTCACGTCCTTACCGTGGACCCCAACGTTATCCACAAGGTCGACACCTCAAATCCTCAGAATCTCTACAGCATGTGGACCGGTAAGCAACACAGTCGGCTGCTCCTATCCGGAGCCAGTCCGGGCTCAATCGCTAACATACATACCCGCTTCAGTCTTCGCAAAGTGCGCAGAGTCTGTTGAGCAGGGCCGCAGGTTAGAGAACCTCAGCTGGCGCATGTGGAACCACGAGACCTTCTGCTGCGCCGAGGAGGAGCAAGAAGCCTCCATCACCGCCACCAGCCAACCCAGAGAAATCCCCCAGACCAGCAGGTTACAAGACGTCCCTCAGCTGTCTGGCAGCGTCGACTCCGAAAACGAAGACGAAGCCGTCGAGTTCACCTCCACCTCCGCCCCCCTCGAGATCCGCCCCCGCATCCAAAGACAAGACTCCTGCGCGAGCAACCGCAGCAGAGGCAAGGAGCGCCACATCACCGCCGGCGATTTTGAGAAGATGGTCGTCTCCATCATCAAGGAGAACGAGCCTCTCTCTGCCCCTCTCCCCCAGATCGCATCACCTTACATGCCGCCTCAGAAGGAAACCCCCGACCTGGCTCCCGCCTCGCCTTCCTACGAGCACTCTGGATCTACTACCACCGAGTCTCCTTGCAAGTCTTCAGAAGAGGAGCACTCCCAAGAGCCTCCATCTCCCGAGATCAACTCCCGTACCACCGTCGTCCGCGGCTTCTCTCCTTCCCAAGTACCAATCGCCCGCCCTGTGCCGGCGTCTGCCAAGGTCATCTCCCCTGCTGCCATTCCCGAGCCGAGCTCTTCGCCTGCCGCCAAGCGCGTGCAGTCAAAGAAGCAGCCCATGTTCGCTCTTGGCGGTTCTTGCTCCTCCAGTGAGCAGGGACAGAGCGTTGAGCAACTGCGCCCTATCCCGGCACCTGCCCCCAAGCGCAAGATGTTCCAGGTTGGCGGCTCCTCTGAGGAGGACAGTTCCCTGAAGAGCGCCCTCGCTTCGGGCCCTAGCTCGCTGCTCACCGGCCAGAAGAAGACCACTTCCTTTGCCGACCACGTCCTCACCAGCACCATTAACGACAACTCTGCCATTGCCGACGACTCGGACACCGACTACGTCGACGAGAGCGCCATTGACGACGAGGATGACTCTTCCGACTGGGAAGACTCGATCGAGGACAGCAACAAGTCTAGCATTGACGAGAAGACCTTCTTCCAGCGTGTAGACTCAAAGGTCAACCTGACCTCGCGTCGCTCGCTTATTACCCTCATGATTGATCAGCAGAACGACCGCGGCCGCGTTGGCAACATTGCCTCGCAGTCTACCTCGGCGCTCCCTTGGACTCGCACTAGCCATCCGGCCCCGCCTACCTTGGCTGTCTCTCCGAACGACTCCGATGATGCTCCTCTGATGATGAAGCGTGGTAACCGATCCTCGCCTCTGAAGCCCATCACCGAGGTGCCTCGGTCCGCTGCTCAGCCTATCACCGCGACTGCCAGCCACAGCCACCTGCAGGCCGCCCTCTCTCCCCGAACCACCCGACGCAACATGCTCGCGACTGAGCTTACCGAGTCTCTCCGACGCAACCTCCTTTGGGAGCGTCAGCAGAAGTCCTCTACTGCCAATGCAGTCCTCAAGCGCCGCCACACCTCCCACGACGTCGCGAACCTGAAGCAGTACCCCGAGAAGGCCTACATCAACAAGAATGAGGATGTTCCCGTCGCTCCTCAGTACTTCTCCAAGGACACTGACAACTTTGGCGGTTACCACTCCAAGGGCTGGTAAACAATCTATCCGCACACCACAACAACATCATCATCATACACATACCACACTACAGCACATATTCACACGATATCCGACGAGCGTGCACCTGCTCGAGCAAAAAATGATTTGGTTGCTATTTTACGTTGCATTGCGCGCGAGGGCATCGCACCTGCTCTGCTTTCTATCATTGTTACCCTAATGTGGGGCGCGCATGGGTGGGACTGGTCCAATGGGCACGGCGATTGCCCCTTGGACTTGATTCTAATTTTTACATTTGCACGGCGTCTCTTCATATGATACCATGGTCTGTTTTGGTTTTGCAACATACCACCTTTATGTTTTACCAATTGGGTTGGGTCTTTTACATTTACATCATGGTTACGGGAAGCTTTGTACTCGAGGAGGATGAATTGTATTCTATGGGATTGAGGGGGAGACAAAGCTACAAAAGGCAACACCCGAGGGCGACCTCAACAACAGTCAGACACTGTTGGGGATGCCGACGATTAGGGGCAAAACGGATAGAGGAAAAACCTGGCCAAAAGTGGAGATGTACCACAAGCGAAAAAAAGGACGGGGGAAGAAAAGTGCCTGCGCGCGAAAGCTGTCGGCGTAGAGGATGGGCCACAAAAAGCGGAATCATTACGACGAACAAAAAAATCGGAAAATCGTCAAAGAGCTAATCAAAAACAAAATAAAAGTTGGCCATTGAATCAAAACTACTGCTGTGTCTCTACATCATCGCTCTCGTGCCATGTCTGAATGTGTGTCTGTTGTTCTGTTGTCTGTCTACCTTACCCCAAAAAGGTGTCCCTGTGACTGTTCGCTTGAATGTACCGGTGCCAGCCCGATGACTGCTGCTGACTGACGCAGGTGCAGCCGGACACACCCATCGGAGCGAGGCCACGTCCATGCGCTCACCGCTTTACGCTGCCAGGGCCAAGCAGTGTATTTTTGCCCACTACACAGGTACGGTACGGTAGCTACCGTAACTCCGTGCCTTAGCTCACAATCACAAGCGAGAGTGTCGCGCACCGCATTGTTCCCTGGACATTGAGGTAGGTAGGTGGTGATTCCAACAACAGGACGCGGGCGGGAACGGCGTGCGGCGCTAGGGCTGCACTGAGAGTAGTTCTAGCCCCTTGGGTTGGGGCACACACACACTCTCTCTCTCTCATTCACGCTCTCACACGCGCTTCGCTTTGGCATTTTGAAGATTGTGGTGTTTTGTGGACATGTGAAAGTCCGGTATCGTACGTACATTGCATCTGGCTTACGGCATCGGGCGGCGGTGGTGGTGGTTTTGGCTGTGACCTCGTCCTTCTTTCTGCCCCTGTGACGGTTTACACTTGTAAAGTACGTGCAGGATGGGAGGAAAATGCTTGTGATTATGGTTGTTTGGCGTAGCGGAGGGAGGACATGAAGTGGCAAAGCGCTTGAAGAGTCACGAGAGTCACCAGAGGAAGGTAGATTAATTGCGTGCTGGCTGGCTTGCTTGCTTGCTTGTTTGTCTTCCTCATGCCAGAAAATGCTACCGAGAATCACTACCGAGGAGCTTTTGTGTTCGTCTGGTGTTATGCTTTTGATTTATTTCCGATCATGTGCGGTGGTGTCCCGCAGTATATCGTGTTCGTTCAAACCAAAAGGTTTTATAGCGTGGAATGGCAACGGGTGTTTATTAAGGTTTGAGGCTGTCAGGTGAGGAGGAGGGGAGTTGAGGGGAAGGAAGACCTGAAGGGCCAGCCATTGGAGATGTGGTGGTGGGGACGCGTAAACGCCTGGTGTATGCGTCGGATGAAGAAGCATCAAGACGGGCGAGATCGGATGGAATGGCTTTGGGGGGATGTAGTGCTTTCTCAATGTTCTTGCCCTGTACGGAGATGGGGATAAATTCGAACGTCCGATGTTTCTTCGTGAGTGTCTGTGGTTGATTTTTCGCAACTGCCGTGTCCGAGGTTTTTGCTCTGGGGGAGATTTGATGGTGGCTTGTGTTAGTTAGTTCTCTCGTGAGGTAGATAGCTTTTACGCTGCGTTGCGCTGACCACTGTATCGTTTGAAGTGCATATTCATTCTGATGTCTAATCTATTTTCATTGTTCCGAAAAGACGGAGGCGGCTCTGCATATCTGGGGTTGAAATCGCGGGAACCACCAGATCTTGGTTGCGCGATTCTAGCGGGCGTTGACCTCTGCTTGTCCTTTTTTTTCAGGATGCCTTACGACGACATCGACGCCCTTTCGGACAAGGGGGCGGCGGCGCATGGGAAAGGATCGGGAAGACGCTAGAGACGAACTACACCTTGATGTTTCTCGGGGGCAGCTTGAGCGTACGGCACTCTGCCGAAGATGTTTGTGTGACTGAGCGAAGCCCGTTGCCTTTTTATCTGGATGGTCTTGTGGCGTTTGATGGCGGCGGGCAGGGCGTTCGGCGTGTGTGTGTGTGTGCGCTTTGCGGCGGAAGGAGGGAGGATGCGTCTTTGTGGCGGCGACGACGACAACGAACTATGGGAAACTACGGGGGATTTTTGGTTCCGTTTTCTGGGGTTGCGGGGTGTGTGGGTTGGTGCGAGAATTGGGAATGCCAATGAATGGGAGATCTTGGAATAATAGATTTCATTGGAGAATTGGTGACTTGCATAGTTCTGGACTTCCCTTTGATAGACGGCCGGTCGGGTCGAGACCTGCGCCCGTGTCTGACTTGCACTGATATGTATCTACGAACTTTGCGATTTGGGCCAAAGGGAGCCCGGCCAATAGTTCTACACACGTTTCCCGTAATCGAGAAATGCGGCTTTAGAGTGCAGCAGTTTGAAATCCAGCAGGCTGGTCTTATTTGTCCCAACACGCACATGCAGCAGAGTATGCGTTAGCCGTTTTGCGGCTCATGAGCTAGGTAGTTAGATAAGGCAGGTTTTCTGTCGTAGGTGATCTAGAATAATCGGGCGCGATGAATCTCGCTGGAACTCGATCGGACTAACAGCCGCATCTCAGGCCACTTCCAACATGCGTATGTGGGGGAGGGCGTTTCTTGTCGCGTTCTATTCACGGGCACCACGCGCGCGCGGCGAAGCAGAGTGCAGCCGCGCCACAGGTTCCGCGCCGGGCTTTGCTGGCAGCAGCGCCGCAGTCGCGCCGGAGGGCGGAGGGGGTCCTAGATCTTTGGACGGGAGTGGTTCCGCCCTCTTTTTTACTTGCTGAGGCACACGTACAAGGAGAGACGTGGAGAGAGGCTGGAGAAGGGGGGGAGGGGGCGTGTGTTGTTGTTGCCCGTTGCATCCGTGAAGAAGGGAAGACGAAAAGCTGGAACTCACGTTCGGCGTCTTTGTGGAGAACCCGGGGTGTACTGCGTAAGGAGGCAGCGGGAGGAGTTTCGCTGGAAATCTTGTCGAGGAGTGTAATTTGAAATGATTTTCTGGGCGCGCATGAAGTCACGATGAGGCTCTGATGATGGGAAAATACGTTATGGGATGGATCCTGCAATGGGATGTTGACCGCCGGGAGGAAGGGGTTTTGACAGCTCATCCAACGACATGATGTGCCGACCGGTTTTCCTTTGACGCGTGGGTATCTCTTTGCTCGAGAAAAAAAAAAAAAAAAAAAAAGGTTGGAGACGGTGTTGGGAAGGGATGCGTGGACGTGGAGATGGCTACTCCAAATTTGAATTTTCAATCTGGGACCCGGGATCTAGAACGCCCGAGATGGGTTGAATATTCACACGCAAGACAGGAGTGAGGATGAGGGGGTGGGAGCGAGGGAAGTATGTCCGAGGTAGTTTCGAAGATTTGAACGGCAATTAAGGGTCGGTGATTTTGCCATTATTTTTGACACATGCAAGTCATGCGATGGCAGTGCAACACTCTCTATTGTCTTTGTGTGTGTGAGTGTGTCTCGTTCATAGGATTCAAGGTTGGTGGTATGTAGGGGAGTTTCCCGATCAGCCGAATAACCTTCATCGATCTGCTGCCCCCCGAACCATGCGGCCGTGCTGCTGTTGGTCGGGGGCGAGACCGCCAAGGAGAACACTGTTGAGTTTCTGACTACAGCCGAAGGCCTCCAGGTGCTGTCGCAATTGCTGAAGGCATATCAAACTGGTCAATGGTTCCGACTGCGGGCAGAAATCTAGTTGCCGACGGCACGATTGGGGAAGTAAAAATACCACCAAAAACGCCAAGCTGTTTCTTTTACTTGAGATCGGTTTTGCGACATCTCCCCCCGCCGGAGATCTCGTCCGGTGTGTTTTTCGAACCTGTGCCGTCGTCGCATGTGAGGCCGACCGTCAAGCCCCGGCCGAGCCGCATCAGGGGCCTGCGAGTAGGTGACAAGCTACATCTAGACTCAGGAACGCGAACGGCTGCTATTGGGTCAATAGGGCCATGTCAGTTGCCAGCAGTTCATTGCAGTAGGCCGGAGAGTGCGGCCGAGACTAAGCTGAACGGTCCCCCGGAAGGCACCTCCATTGCGGAGACGCGTTAGACAGCAGCGCATTGTGAAACAATAAAAAGAAAAAAAATACAATTCACAAAATGCGATAGGGGAAAAGGTCTTCGTGGAGATGTGGAGGTTCGCACGAAAATATCTCGGTACCAACTCGGTGTTGTCCAGAGCTTCTAGACCCTTTACATCCCAGTCGACACGGTGCCGAAAACTGACAAAGCTGAGCAACAGCCGCAGATTGGAGAGTTGGAGCACTACAGTCTCCGTCTTCGCGCTCAAAATGTCTGTTGGCCTTTTTTCCCTTGCTCTCTCCAAAGTGTGAAAGTCTGGGACAGTGGATGTGGTCAACTCCACAATTAGGCCGTGGTGGAGAGGCGGAGAGGGGCGTCAGTGAAGCCATCCGCCATTCAAAATATTCGATTTCTTTTTTTTTTCCCCTTTTCAATTTTTGGGGTAGTTTTTTTTTTTTTTTTAATCCCCTTTGCTGTCCCCGTGAACCATCTCCGCTTTTTGGGGGCCAGAACATCGAGAGGAGCAAGACGCCTTCCAATTGGGCTTCGGTGATTGGCTCAATTGACACGGCCTA